TGATGGTGTTTATTTAGTATGTGTTGGGCGAATGCTGATTCATCCTTGTTTAGTCTTATATTTCTTATGTGTTCTTTGTATCTTGTTGTTAAGTTGCTGCCAGTTTGGCCTATATATATTTTTTGGCAACTTTGGCATGTTATTTTGTATATTCCACTTTGTTCATATGGGTTTACTTCCCATTTTTCATTTGTTAGTTTACCTATTGTGTGGGTTGTTTTGAATGCTATCTTTATATTAGTGTTTTTGAATAGTTTGATGATTTTTCATATGTAATTTCCTGTATATGTATAGGTGACTCATGTTTGTTCTTTTTCGTCTTTTTTATCTGGGTTGCCCATCTTACGCCTAAGTTTGTTATATATGTGTGTGATGTCTTGCTTTTTATATCTGTTACTTAGTGCTATATTAATAATAGAATTTAATTCTTTATTTTTAGCATTTTTTTCAAGTGGTAGTGTAAGAAGTCTGTGTATCCAGTTTTTATATGCTGCCAATTTTTGTTCTTTAGGGTGGGATGATTTATTATTTATTGTTATGTCTGTCATTGTGGGTTTTCTGTATATTTCCATTTCTGTTTGTCCCTGTTTATTAATTACGTTTAGGTCCAGGTAAGGTATTTGGTTATTTGTTTCTTCATTTATTGTGAATTGCAGGTTCTTTTGCTGTTTGTTGAATTGTTCGAGAATGCATTGGGGGGTTATTTTTGTTTGATTATATATTAAGATGATGTCATCTACGTATCTGTTATAGTATGTAATTTTCCCGTCGTCCAGCAGATATTTTATTCTGCTTTTATTCTGATGGTCTTTGAGTAGTTTGTTGGTTACGTGAATTGTGTTGTTGATTGGGATATTAACGTAGAGGTCCTTAATATCCATCGTTAATAGTTTATGATCTGGACTTAGTTTTAGTTTTCTTGTTTTCTGCAAATTGTTTTGTGTTAATAATGTTATATTCGTGTTTTAATTTTAGGTAGTCATTTAGTCTTTGATATATGTATTTAGCTAGTTCATGTGTGGGTGCATTAGTGTTGTTTATTATCGGTCTAATTGGGGCCTCCAGTTTGTGTATTTTAATTTTTGCATTTAGTTTAGGTGCTTGTGGGTTCATTTGGTGAACATGTTTTCTTTTTATAGGGTCTATTATAATTTTACATTGTTTTAGAGTGTTTTGTACTGTTCTTTGAAATTTTTGTGTGGGGTCTGTTTTTAATTCGGCAATGTTATTATTTTCGATAAATGAATTTACTTTATCATTTAGATCTTGTTCATAAATAATAAGTAATGTTTTTCCTTTATCGGCGTCTGCTATAGTTGCTTTATGTTGTGTTAATTTTTGTTGTATTTGTTTGATCATATGTGTTTGTTCTTTGTGTTCTTTATTTATTATGTTTTGCTTTGACGCTAATTGTTGTATGTTTTTTGTTGCTAAGTATCTAATAGCTTCTTGCTGATTTACATCTTTTACGTGTCTTACTGCATTTTCTGTTTCGTGGACTAGTTGTTTTATGTTTATTTTTGGAGAGGTACCCATATTAGATTTACTTCCTTTATTTAGTAGGTTTTCCTCCTTTTCAGTAAGTTGTATGTTAGTCATATTGTGCAAACGTGGATAAAATCTTTGTTCGCTAATTGCCTTTTCTTGTTGTTGATTAGTTAAATTATCAGTTTTGTTATTAAGTTTATTATAATGCTTTTTTGACTTCATTTAGTTTTTGATTTACGTCATTTTCTATTATAGGCCAGTTGGTCTGCCAATATTGTGCATTTCTTAAGTGTAATTTATACAGTTGTTTGTTAATATTTTGTTTTTTAATATATAAGAACTTTAATTCGTTGTTTATTCTGAGTTTGGTTGCTTGTCTCTGAGTAAGCTTTACAGCTTTACTTGAACCTTTTATGGTTCGAACATGTAAAAACAAAAACATACCTAAGTATGCCAACCTAACCATAAAAGGTTAATTATTTTCAATATAATGGAAAATATTACAAACCAAGAACAGGTGTAGCCATGGGCTCCCCCCTATCAAGTACAATGGCAGATATCTTCCTACAAAACATGGAACAAAGCAGAATAAAATATCTGCTGGACGACGGGAAAATTACACACTATAACAGATACGTAGACGACATCTTCTTAATATATAATCAAACAAAAATAACCCCCCAATGCATCTTCGAACATTTCAACAAACAGCAAAAGAACCTGCAATTCACAATTAATGAAGAAACAAATAACCAAATACCTTACCTGGACCTAAACGTAATTAATAAACAGGGACAAATAGAAATGGAAATATACAGAAAACCCACAATGACAGACATAACAATAAATAATAAATCATCCCACCCTAAAGAACAAAAATTGGCAGCATATAAAAACTGGATACACAGACTTCTTACACTACCACTTGAAAAAAATGCTAAAAATAAAGAATTAAATTCTATTATTAATATAGCACTAAGTAACAGATATAAAAAGCAAGACATCACACACATATATAACAAACTTAGGCGTAAGATGGGCAACCCAGATAAAAAAGACGAAAAAGAACAAACATGGGTCACCTATACATATACAGGAAATTACATATGAAAAATCACCAAACTATTCAAAAACACTAATATAAAGACAGCATTCAAAACAACCCACACAATAGGTAAACTAACAAATGAAAAACGGGAAGTAAACCCATATGAACAAAGTGGAATATACAAAATAACATGCCAAAGTTGCCAAAAAATATATATAGGCCAAACTGGCAGCAACTTAACAACAAGATACAAAGAACACATAAGAAATATAAGACTAAACAAGGATGAATCAGCATTCGCCCAACACATACTAAATAAACACCATCAGTATGGGCCAATGACACCAATCATGGAAATGATTGAAAAAGCCAAAAAAGGAAACATTATGAATATAAAAGAGGACTTCCACATATATCACTCTAATAAATTCAAGAAATTAATAGAACAGAAACACACAAAAGAAAGTAATAGCCAACGTAACATGTTCAACCTCATAATACAACACCAGAACACGCCCACAACAAAGTCACAGATACAGGAAGTACAAATTAAAGAACACAACACACACTAGAACAGTATACATAGCACAGCGGGCCAAGAAATTATAACGGATAATATTAAGGTAGGACAAAACCTTAAAAAAATTATATACAAATATATATATATAGTAGGATCGCTGATATTAATACAGTACCCATAATATTTTTACAGAATCTCCTTAATCAAGTTACATAGGAGGCACAACATCGGCCACCTTGAAGAGAGACGACAGGGTTGTTGACACGAACCATATGGTTTATGTATTTTAATTTTTAACAAAGTTTTTAAAACTTTAAAACAACTTTAAATATTTCTATAACCAGAAAGGCTACTGAGAGTGATAGATGGAACTTTGTGTACTAGGACATTACATGTGTATTTGATATGACAACTGTTGTGATAGTGGTTTCTAAAAAGTGTTTGGTGCCTCTGAAGATGATCCAAATGGATCAAAACATGTAAGGCTAGTGAAATATCAAGTGAGAAAACTGAAATAGTCACATTGGACGGACTTGTCTTTTGTAACTGTGAATATTTTTGATCATTCATAAAATGTAACAATACTGACACATGTATTAGGTGACTAGAGACAGGGGTTTGGATTGGTAATTGCTTTATTGAATCTTCAGTTGTCATAACTACACTTAATTATTACACTATTGTGGGTTTACAATTGCTACACACTAATCTTCTCAGTCTATCTGCAGTAGTTTTCACGTATTTATAACACGGGTGCTATACAAGTCTCACTGAATTACACACTCCCAATTCCACTGCATTATAGTACACATAAAGTCTTGAAATCACATTTTAGATCCTCACAGGCTGACCTCCTGTATTCTTCTGTATTCCTGGTTCCATTTCGCTCCATTTGCGTGCTTCTGCCATTACCATTTCTCTCTCATAACTCTAGCTGAACTGAACTGTCACACACACTCACTTATATAGCTGAGGGACTGACAATGCATCATCATAAACACATGTCACATGATCACTACCCACCACTGTTGTGTGATGTCACAGCACGCGCGCTGCATAGCAACAGTCCATCTGTGGTCATAGAAAACACTGTCCTGTAATGTCGGCCACGTGTGTTGCGGGCATCGTCCAGCAATGGGTCTGCATGCCACAATATGTTTCACTTTTATGTGTATACCAGTTTTAATTGTCTATGTTTTGTTTATTAAATAAAAATATTTTAGTTGTATTATTTTTTTGTTTCCTTAAGAATTCCTAATTCTTGCATTTTAAAGTTTGACATGAAAAACCTTATAAACAATATTAACTTTGCAATAATTATCACATGCAATCTAAAGATAAACCACTACAATGGCAAAAACTTGTAGTGTATGCTATTGCCATAACCGCCCGCCCCACATGCCAGAATACCACAGATATTGTCAGAATGTCCTGCAATATGGAAATAAAAGGGTGGTTACCCTAACTGCAGTGCCTGCACTGGAACAGCACCAACATATGGTGTAGCTAAATGAGTTATACATTAGACACAGGCTGTGAAAATCTATGGAGAAGGAATTAAGTCTAATGAGAATGGAATTTTAAGATATTTGTCTAGTATTCATTTTGAAAAATAATATGATGGACAATTTAAAGTGTGATGTGTCATTATTATATCTACCTGTGTCAGCAGCATAATTATACCCTTATAAATGCTTATTCTTACATTTATAATCCACACAGTGCACAGTAATGGTACTTACTGACTCTCGCTACTCCTCCATATACGCTGTTTTTTTTTTTAAGTAATGCTGACCCAAGTGTGAAATGCATTACATACAGTATTGCGAAGATATGAATTTTTCCTCTTTTATATTACTGCATTCTGATGATGGAAATTATGGGTTTTCAGCACTTGAATGTTAATTTTTTTATTATTTTCATCCTCCTTTCAGTTGTTAAGAAAGGGACAGGGAGTGTGCAATAAAGGCTGCAGCAACAACAGTAAACAAAAACATGTAATAATTAAAATAAATAAGGGCATTGTAATTTGACTTGGACCTATAGTTATGAGACCAAGATCTGATTCTCCCGTAATGTGCTCCACTACAAAGACTGGCAGTCTGCTGGGATGGCAAGGGACAAGTAGAAGGAGACTTGAATGTAGACAATAGAAAGTTAAGTAATTAGGAATTTAGGAATGTGTTTTTGTACATAAGTAAATAATATTTCTGTAAATATGCTGATGCTAATTTCTCAGGCAAAAAATTATATATGATATATATTTAGGAATGTGTTTTTATATATTTCCCAGTAGTTGGACCAAGACAAAGAATGCCTATAATTAAATCTGCCAAGAAATATCTCCCCAGAATAGTGGTCAACAGTGTGTCATTATTTTCAATGAAGTAAACTTTCTTGGCTTCAATTTGGCTAATGGTTTATTCACCAGGCCCTTGCAGTTCTTACCATTATGAATCAGACAGAATTACAGTTAACATTGTACTCCAAAACATGTATGAGAAGTTCAGAGTTGACTTATGAACGTGAAGCACATTTGTACCATGATGGAATCACGGATACAGAATGCAAGAAGTTACTTATTGGTATGATACAATCAGTAATTTTTCCTTTATAATTCTTTGTCCAGATGGCATCTGAGTCGGTTCTTACAGCTATTGATCTGTACCGGCTTGATCTTCATGTTTATGCCCACCGAGGACTTCCAAGGTTCTACATGCCAAAATCTTTCCATGAACGGGTTGACTCCTTGCTTCTGCTATTGTGTCGGCAGTGCCCTTACCTGCACACTCTGGTACTGCAGCCAGGTTGAGCCAACTCAACACAGTGCAACACAGAAAGCTGCTGCCTAATATCCTCACTCTTGTCCTGTCTTCCAAATTAACAGTTTCTGATCATGTGAATATAATGTATCCAGTGCTAACATGAGGCTTTTCCTTGTTTTGAAGTGAAGAGTGGAGATTTGTTGCTACCACAAGTGTTATGTTTCTTTGTAACTCCTCCTTTTACATAAGACTGACAAATGATAGAACACTTCAGCAGAGTATGGGTTGATATGGAACAAGAAAACTGAAATTTTCATCCATGGAGTAGATTTCTCCTTTCTTCATCCTCCTACAGAGGAATTTAACAGAGGACCTTAAAACTGTGATTTCTTTCCAAGAATCCTGTTCTGATAAATCACATTAAATTCTTTGGAGATGCCTTAAGCTTGTATTAACGTTATGCCTCATTTTTCCCCTCTTAAATTATAATCCTTGCTTTTAACTCTTGACATTCAGAACACTTGATTGTCATCCTGTGGCTCCAGTATTGTGAGATAACCAAGCATCCAGAATTAGGTATGTACTAACTATGCCTGTGCAAACTCATAATAGAGCTATTTTTTTTAATGTTTTCCCCATGAAATTTTAGAAATGCATGTAGATTAATACTTTGAAAATCAATAAATCAACAGATAAAATTAGAGACCCTGTTGGTTGTATGAATGGTGTGGTGAAGCTGAGTAATCATTAGTTTCCAAAGTAGTCCTTTGCTCACCTCCCTCAGTCCTGCAGTATTTGTTACTATACTAGACTAGATTAAATACACATGAATACCTCATTTTTTGGCACAGGTAGACACATGTGAATACCCACATCTCTGGCAAGTTCACAACGAAAAGTTGCAAAAATGCCTCAATTTACTTTGCCATCTCTGTCTATCTGTCCACATATAGCAACTCAACAGTCTCTCAACAGAGTTTCATGAAATTTGATATTGGGGAATTTTTGTTGGCCCATTTCAGTTTTAGTTAAAACTGGACAATAATGACAGGCACTTTATGTGAATGCATACATGTATTATCTCGAGTGTACATTACTTGCACATCTGCCCTGCCTGTTTTATATTATGTATAAGACAGCATCAAAAGTTATCATTCATGAATTGAAAATCTAGAGGCAACAACAGTGACTGTGCCACATTTGTTATGTATTCATTTTTTAATTTGTTTCTATGAATGAACTACCTTAACTGCGGCTTCAAACACTGAACTGAACTTTCAAGTTATTCACTTATACTATGTATCCATTAAGCAGAGAGTAAAGACACTCCATAAATTTTTGGAAGGTGATGAGCCATTCGCCTACAGTTCCTATATTTATCTGAGTCAGTATGTTATATGCCCAGTAAAGCTCAACTGGTTAAAGAATTTTCTTAGCCTCATCTAACAGGATTACTTTTTAATAATGGAACATGGTCAACTAAAACAGAAAATGTTATATATGGTGCAGTAAATGTCCACAGCTACAGTGTACATATAGAAGTTGTAGTAAATACAATAACATTGTAATTTTTCATACATTCATATAAATATTAAGGCTATACATTGCTGCTTTTGCATTCTTGGTATTAGGAGTGTAGTAAAGTGACCAAAGTTGATGCTTACCTTCCTTGCAACTTCTTTCCAGATGATAAGGGAGCGTATTTCAACAGCGACTGTGCTGCTCTTGGCCCACACTGCACGCAACCTGCATTATCTATTTGTACGTCGCAATGGGGTCATATTGCGATGTGACTGGCCACAGAGTCCTGACTGGAGTTATGAGTTCTACCAGTGGCTTCGCTCATCATCAAAATCATATGATGCTACAGAGAAAGAAGTGTCACAAATATTAGGCTATACTTGGTTCATGCTGTCAGATCAACAGTTTAAACTAACACGTATAAATCTTCATTATGAACCTTTCTGAAAGGTTCCTAATGTGTGTGTTCCCAAAAATGTCAACTCCACCTGCAAGATAAAAGTATGATTTGACTGATCTTGCAGAATCTAATCTCAGTCTCTCTAACCCTTCGATTGCCAAGCCTCTGCCATAAAACTACCTGCTATAAATGACAAGGCTGCTTGGAGGTAATGCAGTTGCATGGAAAAACGTGAAGTACTTAATCAAATGACCTGCAAATAACAGCAGGTGTAAGTCATGTGAAAGCCTGTTGTTTCCTCCAGACATCAGTAGTCACACTTCAGGCCATCTATTGACAGAAATCTATACTGATTGATTAACAATGACTCAGTCTCTTCACTTGTGGCAATTTTAATTGTAACCCAAGTTTATTTGGTATCCGAAGGGTTAAACAGAAAATAAAGTGTGAAAAGTGCTTTAGTAAACATGTTATGCCTATTGATGTGGTGTACCTCGCGTAAAATTAGACTTCCTTTCTGGTATAAAATAGTAAATACTAATAAATATATTTTTTTTGTACATTGTGCTTTTACAAGTTTTTGTAAATGATGCTTTTATGTTATAGTTTTTATAACTTTAGAAAATTTAATGTAAATAATGAAAAATCATTTAAATAATTCTCAGGTACAGAGTTTCAACAATTTGCATTGTTTATTGGAGTCATAGGCTGATTTCTCAATTTATTCTGTTAAGCATTTGCTGTGCATAAGGTTTCTTTGCTTTATGATCAAATCATTTCCATAGCAGGAAAAGTTCTAGCGGAAGTTTCACACTCTGTTTTTATATTCCTTGACTTAAAGTGTGATACAAGCGTACCATTTTTTCTTAAATTTTAAATAAATATTGTGAATCTGTGCAGAAAGTATATATTTAAACATTATTCATTACTGAAGTATAGTTCAAGACAATATGTCTGCTCATAGGATCTACATAGTGATGATAATCCTGTGCAAAAGAAGTTATTTTTTCATCTTTTTCTGTATCACAATGTAATTTTGCTATGGCACTGGTTCCTGTCTTTATACAAAATTTCAGTGTTTTCAAAGAAGAGCTGGAACACCAAATTAAAAGGAAACAGTACTATGTATTATGGTTAACCCTTTAACCTTTGTCATTCATGTGTTACATTATGTCGAGGTGTGCATGAATCCAGCAGGCCCAGTGTCACTGTTTATTATATATAAATCCCATTACCACCAAGTTAAAATCGGCTCCAAGCACCATACCAGCAGATTTATATCTTGATTTCTGGATGATAAAGGTTGATGGACAAAGTCTGTGTGGAATTTAAAAGTTCAATTCCTACCTCTAATAAAACATGCCAAGACTCGGTTACCTAGATTAATTCAGTGAACTACATTTAGGAAAGCAATCACTGTTTTCTCTGAGAACCAAACAAAGCCCAGAAATGCACTCTGAAAGCAAAATTTCAGTTCGTTGTAAGCAGGTGATATAAACAGTTACAAATGTGGTATAAAGAGTTGAAGGAAGAATTCTCATATTTGTCCATCCAGTTCCACACATTCCAGGATCCTGATCTGTACTTCTTGTGACATGGTACTGTGATGGTGTCATATTATGTGAGACATTTTAAAATTCATAGCTATTTTTTATACCTGTATTTATTCAAAGACACGATCATGACGAATATGAGGTGGGTAATAACAAGATCTACAATTATAATTTAAAATTTGAGACAACTTTTGCAAGTCATGTAGGTCCACATCTGTGATCATGAGTGCTCACAAACTTCTAGTGATCTTGGTTTCAGAGTTAGGAATTGAAATCCTTGTAGGTCACAAACAAGTGCGAGACACTATACTTCTACTGACGTATACTATTAATTATAGGCAATGAATTTCTGTATATGTTTGTGTGTGTACAGAACTTTTACCTGGTCTGTGATCTGCATGGTTATGATAAGTCTGCATGAACCCCAAACCATATGAAAATACATGGTCATACATCTTTTGTACTTCATTGGCTCAAAGTGACAGCTCAAATATCACAGATTAGAATTAATTTACATCATTAACTGAAACGTTCTCACTTATAGTAATTTTTATGCATATATGCTGATTACTTATGCTTAGGCAAGCTGTGTTTATTCGTGCAATTTAATAAGAGTTCATTGTCATGATAGGAAATTTATGAAATCTTCTATAAATGAAGACTGTAGATTCTGTGGTTTCAGTGATAATCAGAATATTTGACACTCGTAATTATACAGAACTGCCCAGTTACATTTCTCAGTTGTTTCCCTAAGTTTCCATGTGTGTATAAAGATAATTTTAAAATGTCCAGAAATATTGAAAATGTTTCCTGAATGTTGTTGATTGTGAGTTAAATTATGTCTGTTATGTTTTGGAGGCTCACTCTGTCTCCATATTCAGGCAAAAATAGATAAGGGAGAGGAAATACCTATTTAGTCAAGGCTGTTAAAGAGAAATTTCTTGCATACTTTGTACAGAATATATTCATTTATAGTTAGAGAATAAATCTATAAATCAGTGCATGATATTTCAGTTTTCTTGGTCTGTGTTTAGGATTTGAGGTTCTCAGTATCTTCTGGGATGTAACGCCATGTAGTCCGTTAATTTCAACAGACTGAGAACCTCAAATCCTACATAATGTTCCTCTATGGGGAGAATACTCATTGAGACATTCAATGATTCAAGAAGTTATGGATCAAAAGGCCAAGACACCTTTGTTCCCTTCCTTCTCAGGTGCAGGTTAACTTTCAATGGACTGCCTAGCATTATATACCAGAAGATAATTCTTCATATTCTCTCTTGTTTCATGACCAATGGACAGTAGATTCTAAGCACATATAGTTTACTTCGGTGGCTTTATGTTATACTGTAATGTCGCTTCCAAGTATTATCCTCCCATGTGATCTTTTCAGGGGTTTTCATTATCCACCCAAGAGACTGGGGGGTTTCCCCACTATTATCATTCACAGTTATCGCTCTCACGAAGTTTTCCACCAACCTTATTTATTATGACATGTTTTACAAGTATTATCCTCCCAAAAGACCTCTTCCCAAGGTCTCCAAACCAAACTTCTGTATACATCTCACAGATTTCTATGTCATTTCCATCAGAGTTTGAATTTAATTGTATCAAGTGAGAAGAAAATGTGGGGCTCCTCACTGTGTACCTTTCTCATTCACCCGTTTCATCTGTATTAGGCCAAAACATTCATGTTACCGTTTTTTCTCAACTACACCAGATTTCTATAGAAATAACTTTGATGCACATCATTCTGTGTATCCTCTTGCACTGCAATTTTGGAGTCCATGAAAATGAAGTGATAGGGGAAATTACATAATGAGGAGCTTCATAATTTTTACTCCTTACACAACAGGAAATTTCCAGATCAGTTGAGCAACTATCAAATTTACATGAAGTTTTCACAGAGACTGTATGCAATGAAGTCAACTCAGGCAATCAGTTATATCACTATGGCATTAGTATTCAACACTGTGGAGACTGTCTCCATCTATGTCATCAGGGGTTGATGTGATGAGTGTCACATCCACTCACTGTGTTTATACCATGAAGTGCTCTTGGTAAGTTAGGTAGGGAAGACATTTTCAAATCAACAATTGAGAATGAGAGTTTGCACAAAATTAGTAATGATGACTGCCTCCATGGTCTAGTTGTCACAGTTCCTGGCTATAGATCCAGAGGTTCAAGTTAGATGCCTGGTGCTATCAGATTTTGGGAGTCGTGGGTCTGGAACTGGGTCCACTCAGCCTCGTGAGGCTAAATGAGGAGCCATTTCAAGGAAATAGAGGCTCCAGTCTAGAAAACCGAAATTAACGGCCGTGGGGATTCGTTGTGCTGACCATGCAACATCCTCTATCCATGAAATTTGGCAGCAACTTTGTCGACAGGTGGTGGTCACTCGTCGGTATAGTTCGCTTGCAGACTAAAACCACAGAGTTTGTTTCGTTTTAATGAAGTCAGAATAGTAAAAGTTCAATGTTCCCATAACATGACATAATAATTATAACATAATGACTAATCTGTGGTTAAGTTTGTTTAGCTTGTTGGTGTCTTCTGTGAAGAAGGTATTTGTTAAAGCACCATATAAAAAAAGGCCTTTAAAGCAGTAGCACTGAATGTTCCACTTCCACCAGAACCAATTTTAACATGCTGAGGCATGTGGCTGTATGCAGTGAGTTATTATATTGAACGAATGCCATGAATACATTTGATCCCAAAAGAGCAGCATCTATTCAAGTTACCCAAGATGTATTAAAAAACGCTGAACTAAAAACTAATCTTTCCTATCTGCTCAGTTCTCTCATCTTCCATCTGTCATTTCCTCATGGGAGGCAAGCAATAGCAATACTACTTTGTATCAGTCATTAAGTGTATTCAAACCAATGTTTCCAAATTGAATTCAGTTCCTGGAAGAGTTGAAGTTGTAAAGGAAAAAGTACACAGCATTCTTTAAAAAAACCCAGGATATGAATAAATTTGTGAAATTGAAAAAAATTTTTGCTGGTAAGCATACTGAACTAGCAAGTAAAAAATCACTAACAGTGGAGCAAATACCGGCTTCTGTACATGCACCCTTAAGTTCCTGTGAGGTGGAAAGAAATTCTTCCCGTTATAAGGACATCTTATGAGACAACAGGAGGCAATTAACTATGAGAAACCTAAAACATTTATTAATTGTGAACTGCAACAAAGGAGAAGTTGAAAGCCTGGAGAGCTAAATGTTAGTACCACTGTTTTCTTTAACTTGTAATGAAAAAATGTTGGCTTTCTTGAATGATTTATATTTAAGTGTATCTTTTCACTGCAAGTGAATCATTCAGTGATTACATGAAATTATCTTAAATGTTGATTTGCTGGTCTTAAAATAATGTAAAATCAATTTTAATTTTTAGTATGAACATTTTATGTGTATATTTGGAAGTTTTTCATGCATATATATTTAAGGGATTATTATGGTATAAAAATCAGGTCCCTAGTGATAACATAGATACCATAAAGAAAAACAAATGAACTTTAACTGATGCTAGTAAGGAGGTCAGTCTATAAGTAAAAGCAGATAAAACTAAGCATATGTTGCTGTCTTGTCACCAGAATACAGAGGAAAACCATGACATACAAGTAGCTAACAGATGCTCTGTAAATGTGGGACAGTTCAAATATTTGGGAATGACAGTAAAAAATGAACATTTGATTCATGAGGAAATGAATAGGAGATAGAATTTGGGTAATGCTTGCTACCATTCAGACCAAAAGCTTTTGTCTTCTCATCTGTTGTAGGAATAAAATTTAGATTAGTGCACACTGTATTTACCTGGTACAGCATAATCAGCAAATCCTATGGCAAGCACCCCACTCCACAATATGCATGTGTAACCTTTGGGTAGGTATAGCAGACATAGTTTTAATAAGAGCACAGCACCACTTTAGTGCCAGAATGATGACCTATGGGTTTACACAAACCCCATGCCAGTGCTATGAGCAAATGAACCCCTGAAGAGAGTTAAAAAAAAAGAATCATGCTACCAAAATGGTGTCAGGATGCCATGCAACCAACATGGCTGCTGGGGTGTGGCAGCTAATAAAATCTAAGGTAGTGGTTCTCAACCTTTGCGAGACCATGGCCTAGTAAATTCTTTTTTTTATAAGACGACGGTCCGGTATAACTGATGCCAGGGGCTGGTACTGGGCCATGGCCCTGCGGTTGAGAAACACTGATCTAAGGAATCCCGACTAGGAAAACGCTTTACATGCAATGACATCACTTAGGAACCATTACACTTCATTCATGGATGTGCCATGTTCGACCACACCAGTGGATGGAAGACATTCTGCTGCTGCATGACAATGCCTGGCCACATGTCAGTCTCCTAACTATGGAGCACAAAATTGAGGTTGACAGAGTTGTCACACCCACCATACAGTCATGATCTGGTACTTTCACACTGTCACCTGTTTGATAAACTGAAAGACAGCATTTGTGGGACAAAAGTTGAGGACAATGACTCCCTTCTGGCATCTGTGAAAAAGTGGCCGAAAAGCCCTGATCCTGAGTTTTACCATGTGGGCATATATGCCCTTGTTCTGAGGTGTCATAAAGCTGCTGAGAGAGATTGGGAGTACTGTGAAAAGGAATATTTTGTCCCTAAAGCCTGTACCTATCCACTGTGTGAATAGAAAAGTTATAAAATAAAAACTGAAATTAAAAAAAAAAATATGGTGCATTACTTTTCAGTGACTCTCATACATGGCTGAATTGTGGATTTACACATATACAAAATTCATAAAAAGACAAACTAAAATGTATAAGATGTACTCATATAAATTCTTATGTGGAATATTTCTAATCTAAGTTACTTTGGAATACTGAAAGGAAATATGTTACTCATTTTGACATTTAGATGACATAGGGGGGAATAACTGGCTATAAAGAGTTCCTAAATGCTGAATGTTATTCTGCATAGTGCTGCGCAGTGTATCGGTGTACTGAGGTTCTGGATGGGCTAATGTTGCATCTCGCCACATAAGACCATTTTCATCACGAGCAAAGAGAGCAGGAGACGGGACATGATCACGTAGGTAGTTCCACACACAGTCACGTATAAGTTGAACAACCTGCAAAATACAGATTTGGTTCTTAAAACCTTAGAAAACTATACATGAGCATAAATTAGGTGTTCTTTGGCTTAAATAGGGACAATTTTTAGTTGAATCATTTCGCAATATTAAATATGAATGAACTTTCATAAAAATCTGTCAGGCAGTTTAAAAACTGTAGAACTTCATGTGCAATGAAGTACAACTCATGAAAGGACTAAAGGTGAAAGAAAGAGAATGAACAAAGGAAAGAACAGGAAGAAAATGTTTACAGATTCATCAACCAAGTGACATTCAATAACATCATGATAACTGTCATGTTTTTCAGTTCAATCAGAGGGTTAAACATAGAGACATTCACTGTCATGGATGTTACTGCTTTACAAATTTATTCTATCTGTTGGCACAGCTGTAACTAATTATAGAAATCTGTAGCCACAGCAGGTCATGATGATGAAGATTGGTTCTATAAACACAGTATTGGATAGAAAGTACAGTTTCTTATTTACTGAACTTTTTGTTTGCAAGTGCGGACTCAGACAGAAGAGCTGGGATCCTTCTCCCATCAATTTTGGCCAACTTGTAACACAAAAGTTCACTTCATAACTCCAAAAGGGTAAAGCTATCCCTGTAACAGGTTGTGGAGGCCCCTAGGGCTGTGAGATGTCAAGGCTCCCATATTTTCTACACAGCCTGCTCACAGATGGCGGTGAGGTTGTCAGCCTTATGCGCCGACTGCTCTTTAACCCCTAGGAAGATTCCTGGTACTCATTTCTGTTAGAGGCTGAGTAGACCCCAGGGCCTTAGTGTAGATGAAAGAATTAGGTAAACTGAAAAATCCAATGACCTCATTGGGACTCAATCCCACAACCTTCCAGCTTGTAGCATAGTGCCTCAACCAACTACGCTTCCATCCAATGTCAAGAAAACTCACTATTTCAATCAGGCATGTCTACAAACCAAGAACTGAACCTCAGATCTCCAAAATATGAACCGAGAGTATTAAGTACTAAACTGCAAAGGACAGACAGTGTGTGTGTGCGCACACACATGCACATAAAGGGAATACTTGAGATAAAAGAATTCTTTGGTCTCCAAAACACACCTCTTGTGGCTTCAGGTGAGGTATTACATCTCTAAGGCTTGATAGTGGAGGTGGCAAGAGTTGTCCCAATGCCATCAGCTCCAGAACCTGGGTTGTAGTTGCAAGCAATCTGTCATTATGTTGTGCTCGCTGAGCTGCGGACCCCCACTGTGCCAGAAGAGTTGCTGTCAATGCACGGAGGAGAACAGAGCAGTAGCAGAGGGCAGGACGATATGTTGCTACCAGTGACATCAGATGCCATATGAGTGGAAGATCATCAAATAACCTTCGGATATGGAGGTCTCGCTCAACAGTTACCTGCAGGACATTTAAGAAACTAATAAGTTTTATGTACATCCTAGAATTTCATACATTACAGCCACAGGTTATGCAAAACTTGCAACATATCTGATAATAACTGAATTACAGAAGAAAATTCCATGTCAAGATTGGAAATAATATGCACTGAAAATAAAATAAAAATAAAGAATACATATGGTACCACCTCCTGTATTTATTTATTTGCAGTTTATTTAATGACACTGTCAGTAAATAGGACTGTAGTGTCAAATGGTGGGATTTTTGGTGAATAAGAACTGGAAAGGTAATGGAAGGAACGTAGCCTAGTTGAGGTACTACCCGGACATGTGTTCTGAGTGACTGAGGAAAATCATGAAACCTTCTGTATTGTTCATGTCCCTGCCAAAATTGAAAGCAAACACCTCCAGAATCAAAGTCTACAGTCTCATATAATATGGTACAATGAAGGAATGACTTTTAGAATATTATATTGAAATACTGACAGATAAATTATACAAAGGGAAGTACTGTCAAACAAATACTGGTCATGAAAAACAATTAGTAATAATTCAAGAATTAATAAACACTTCAATACAAATAAAAAATATCAGAATTCATTATTACATACCTACATTTGGAAATTATTTTGAGACAGATGCCTACAATTTCTTTTTAATATCATAATTAACCTTTATTGTTAGCATGTCACACTATTATGATGGCACACGCATGGGCCCAGCAGGCCTACTGTCACACTTTTCAATACCGTCACATGTCGGGTGACGAAAATGATGGGTTCTAGCTCAGGTGATTGGATTCATTAGCACTTTGGTTACACACACACACACACACTCTCTTAGTTACACTTAAATACAGGCAAGACAGTGCTATCGCTGATGTACACACTTTCCACTTCACAGTTGCACAAGCACTAGGATCCTCTGTCTTCACTAGTTGTCTCCTAGCTATGGATCTCAACACAGAAACTATCACTTCAAATCACTACAAATATTACACACAGAATCTTCCAATCACACTTTCAATCCTCACTGGCCGACTTCCTGTATTCTTGGTTCCACTTTGCTCCATTCACATGATTCCACAGCTACTATTTCTCTTGTAACTCAGAATTCAGGACTATGTCACACACACTCACTGTCACTTCTATTTCCAACTCAATTGCTTCTCATGATTCTGCCACTACCATTTCTCTCTCATAACTAACTGCTCCCAACTGAACTTTGTCACTCACTTATATAACTGAGGGACCGACATCGACCAACAGTAAACACATATCATGTGACCCCTATTCACTATTGCTGTGAATACCCTTCAGTCAAGGTAGTTAGGTCATCTAAAAGACTGAAAAAAAACAACAACAGTAACAAAGAAAAATGATTATTTAGGGGAAAAGGAAAGGGTGTAATAGACAGCAATACACTCATAATATTTCATCAGAATATTTGTGGAATTAGAAATAAAACAGATGAGATGATATTTTCTTTGCTTCCTAGGCTGCCTCAGGTATTGTGTATATCAGAACATCACCTTAAACAACTAGAACTAGAACAGATTAATCTTGAAGGTTATAAACTTGGTGCTGCATACTGCAGGAAATCTTTACTCAAGGGAGGGGTGTGTATTTTTGTACATAAAGACTACAATTACCTAACGTTGGATGTAAACAAACATTATAAGGAACAAGATATTGATCTTACTAAATATTGTAAGGATAGAGATATTGAAATCTGTGCCATCATGATTCATCTGAATGCAAGAAAAATATGCATAATTACTATATATAGATCACCATCAGGAAATTTTGATATTTTTATGAATAAATTAGATTTAATTCTTAATAAATTATTTAAGGTCACAGTGGATTTCGTTATCTGTGGCGACTTCAATATAAACTTCCTAGTTGATAGTGAGAGGAAAAGACAACTTGTAGCTCTCCTACAAACCTTCAATTTAACAAGTGTGGTAAAATTCCCTACTCGCGTGCAACGTGGATCAGTTACATCTATTGATAACTTCTTCATTGACATTACTAAGGCAGGTAATTATTCTGTTAAACCTATAATAAATGGATTATCTGACCATGATGCTCAGGTTGTAATATTTCATTCTTTTAATTTTAGACCATCTATTAAGAAAAGTATA